TTTGGTCACAGGAGTCAGAAGTCTGTCTTCTGTAAGTGTTGATTGTTGCAGAGAGTAAAGACAGTGTGTGTTTTTACCATACCAATATATAATACAAGAGCAGAAAGCCAAACCTCACCCAGTAAACCACTAAGAGAAAAAGAAGTTATAAAAATTTTACATAAAAATCATGACTGGTTAAAGAAAAGCTTGCTATTTCTTAATCTCCTTGCCACACTGCCCTGCACTCTGAGCATGAAACAGAGATGGAAGAACAAAGCAGCCCAACAGAATCACACTGACAGAATGGGCAGCTGAAGGCCTCTAGCTTCTGTGATGTAAGCTTCCAAGGAGAGACAACATCAACATTGAATCCCTTGTGCCCCACTGAGAAATTTTGAGCATAACAAGTGTTCGATAGTATAAGTAAAAACATTGAATAGTGAAAGCTGTACTGGCAGAATAAAAATTATTTGAAGGCTGAAGTTAAAATAATTATATTGGAAAAGTCCTGCACCTACTCAGACAAAACCAACTTTTGTGATCAGCATCTGAGACTGTTGACACTTTTGATTCCTGGGGACATGGGTCAGGAGAAGAGGAGGTCATTCTAGGAGACTGGTCCTTCACAAAAGCACTCTAGAGTCAAGGGCGAGGATCATGGAGAATTAATTATTTTGGCAACAAAGAAGTAAGTCCCTCCTCAGTAAAGGAGGTCCAAAGTCATTAGGATGCGGTGAGCCTGCCCTCAGGGAGTGAGTCTGGAAGAGTTTGGATTGAGGAAACTTTGTCGCTCTAGAAGAGAGGATGTTACTAGATGTGATAATGACCTTGTGAGTGAGGTGGTGATGGGAAAATAAAATTATCTTGGTGTTAGAATCTCCACACCAAGAGGAACCTGAAAAGAAGCAGTCTTCCTGCTAGGGGTATTGGCACAGCCTGAGGAGCTCTATAGACTCAGTAGAAAAATGGTGGAAGGAAAAAGCAATGTCTGTACTAATCCTGCCCTGTGGCCCCAAGGAAGCAAACCACATAGGCCTGCATGAGTGTCTTCTAGAAGGAAAAGAAACATCTGCAAAACTCATTCCCTAATAAGCGCAGTCTCTGCTGTGAATAAAAGAGCGAACAAGCCCAGTCCTAAAGAGCTTATACCAGACATGGTTGGGTAGATCCCTCAACAAATGCAAAGCCGCTTAGAGCTGGGAAAGCCTGACTTCCTATGTAATGGATAGGAAGGAAAAATGCAGCCTGCAATCAAGGATAAAAATGTCTTCAGAGAAAAGGGAACAATATTTATATATGCAAAAAAAAAAAAAGTATGCGAGCGGGTGTGTGTGATCACTTACATACATATACAAGTATTCAAAAAGTTCATGGAAAGATTCGCATTATCTTTCAATTGTACTTTTCCATGAAGTACTGTCATATATATGTCTACTTTTAGCATAACAATGTTTCTCTTTTGATTGGTAAGTATCAATTTGGTTAGCC